CATTCCTGTCCCTAACTCAGTGTTTTCCTCCCAGAGGGAGCCCCTTCTTTCTGCTGGATGCTCCTGGCCTGTCCAGCTGCCCCACCCCTCCCATCAGCCTCCTGCCTACTGCAGTCTCAGGGGCCTGGACACCCAGTGCTTGATCCCTTCTGCCGCCCTCTACTGGGAGCTGCAGGTCTTCTTATGTTTGACATGTGGCTTTTAGGTTTATTTATTTATTTTTTTCAAATCTACTTGTTTCTTTTTAAAAACTTTTGACTTTGACTAACCAGTAGGAATATATACTCAGATGAAAGAAATAAGACCTAGTGTTCAATATGCCAGCAGGGTGACTACAGTTAATGTTAATCTACTGTACAATTGAAAACAGCTGAAGACAGTAATAGGAGTATTCCTGGAGTAAAGAAAATATAAATGTTTAAGGTGATAGTTATCCCACTTGCCCTGATCTGATTATATGGGTGTATCAAATTCTCACATTTACCCCCACAAATAGGTGCATCTATTATGTAGCAGTAAAAAATAAAAAGTTATTGCCAACTCCCCAAATTGTACTTTTGACAATAAAAAAGTGACTGCTTTTTTAAAATACTGAGTAAGTAATAATACAAACAGTAGGCAGAATTAGTGACAATTGTTTCAGTGGTGTCCTAATGATGAGGATTAAGGAAGCCTGTATTTTTCTCATATAACCTTACAGCAGCCCCGTGAAGTTCGGGCATTTACTGGTATCATAGCTGTTGTGCAAGGTGGCCCCATTTGGGTCAGTGATGCACCAAGTTTTGTGATCAATTCCATGATGTCATATGACACAGTTCAAAGAACTAGTTTTAATGGGGAGAGGCTGTGTTTGCAGAAAGCAGCTGTCCCCCTCACCCGCTCATGCCACCAACTTTGGGTGTAGCCTCTCCTCTAGATGACAGGGTGAAGATGGCCCACTCACACTGGCTTGTTGTCTAGGCAACCCAGGAGGAGATTGGGTTTGCCTTGGCAATTTTGCTCCCTGAACTGTGATTCCCATTTTATAGACACAGAAACAGGGGAAAGAAATTAAACCATTGGCTCCAAATGCATAGCAATTCCAGAGCCCAAATTCAAAACCAGTTGATTTTATACTTCAAGGAAAGGAGAAAATTTTATGAGGCAACAAAGAGGGGAAGGCCTCTCTGCTCTCAGTTCTCCGGACCTCACTTTCCATCTCTGGGAAGTGATGTTCTGTGAGGAGCCAGCCAAGGCCATGGTCTTTTGGCCCCTCCCCACTTCAGTGCACCTGTTGCCTCCCAGCCTGGGCCATTCTGGCATCTTGGGAGCTCCAGAAGCCACTGTAAATCATCTTCATTGCTGAATGTTAAAAAGACTTGGCAGGAGCCTTGCTGTTCTTAACTCCCACACCCAGAACGATCCCCTGAATTAAAGATGCCTTTTACTTTCTGCATTTAAAATGCTTTATAATCACTGATGGTGGTTCATGCTAAGGAGGCATGGGAATGTTTGGGATCTCTTACCTAAGGATCAAGATGAAAAGAGGAGCTGTTTCCTTAATTTTTTTTTTTTTTTTTGAGACAGAGCCTCAAGCTGTCCCCCTGGGTAGAGTGCCGTGGCTCACAGCTCACAGCAACCTTCAACTCCTGGGCTCAAGTGAGTCTCCTGCCTCCGCTTCCCAAGTAGCTGGGACCCCAGGCACCCGGCTTATTTTTTGGTTGCAGCCATCATTGTTGTTTGGCAGGCCCAGGCTGGATTTGAACCTGCCACCTTAGGTGTATGTGGCTGGCACCTTAGCCACTTGAGCCACAGGCACCGAGCCTGTTTCTTTAATTTTTATTACACAGTTTTTGAGAAACACTTTCATATGCCATTCAACTCTTTTTTCCTCTTTTTCTCTGGCTGGTTCTGAAAAATTAGTGTAGCCCCATAAATATGCAGAATGCAGAAAGCTGATTTTTCCTATATCTAATAAAAACCTTGGGGAGTAATTGAAATAATTTGGCGTGGGTAGTCAGGTTACATGCTTCAGAATATCAAAAGAAAATCCTTAGCAAGAAAATGCAACAGAAAAGAGGAAGAGGGGCTGGAGAAGCAAACCAGAACATTAAATAATGAGTAATTGACAACCTAAAAAAAATCCTTTTAGAATTACATTCTTAGAAAAATAGTTGAGAAGTATCTTCAAAGAAGTAATACTAGAGAAAGTGTACATTTTACGCATTTCTAAGGGGTGCAAATTCAAAGAAAAGGAAGAAAATGATTCCTCCTCCTTCCTCTGCATCAGTTCATTAGACAAAAGAAGTCTGACAGAAGCCACAGGTTTCCATCAAATTTTGACATGATGTTTTCGTGATCAGGCTTCCCTCCCATCTCCCTTCCCTCTTTCATCCCTGCACTCTGAATTTTAAAGGAATGTTGTCAAGATCACAAAAAGATAACCACCTCCTACCAAGTGTCCTAGGTACTTTTTGGAATATCTTCTTCTGGTCTTTATGATTTTATGAAAGATGGCTAAATGCATTGTGGGTAGGAAAGTGATGTTGACTTGGCACGTCTGGATCTCGTTAAAGAGAAATGCTAGATCAGAGTCACACAGAGCAGAGAGTGGCCAGCTCTCTACCACCACCACTCAGACTAACATGCTACCACTCACTAACATGCTCTCACCCAATACTAATGCCTGTGTGACCGTGACCAAGCCCTTTACTGTTTCTAGACTCAGTTTTTAGGGTATTTTTTTTAAAAAAAGGTTATTTTTATATAAAATAAAATCTTTGGGAACAGAAAAGTAGAAAAACTGAAAGGAATTGCTCAAAACTTATTATTGACATGATTTTGGTATGTCTTCTACCAACCTTTTTTCTTAGGTACAGCTGTTTTTTTCTTTTCAAAAATATACTAGAAATAAAAAAAGACGTTTTTATGAAAATGACACTGGCACTTGAAAATGACATTTGCGTTTGAATGTTTATAGCAGCACAATTCACAATCGCAGAGATGTGGAAACAACTGAAATGCCCATCACTACATGAATGGATTAATAAAATGTAGTATACTATTCAGCATTAAAAAAGATGGAGATCTAGTATGTTTTGTAACAACCTGAATGGAATTGGAGGCCATTATCCTAAGTGAAGTAGGATAATGGAAAGAATGGACAAACATACACCACATATACTCAATACTAAATTGGAACTAGTTGACCGACACTTATGTGCTCGTATGGAAGCAAAACTCAATGAAATTCAAATAGGTGGGATGAAGAGAGGAAAAGGCGATTGGTAAGTTCACAACTAATAGGTACACTGCATGGGTACATCGCACACTTTCTGGGTGAAGGACACATTTATGACTCTGAATTAAAATATTCAAAGGCAAACTATGTAAGCAAAGCAAGTATACCCCCATAATATTCTGAAATAAAAATAAAAATACAGTAGAAATTGCGCTATATGATTTAATTTTATATCCTATATTTTCTTTTTCCCAAATAAAGATGTAGTTGATGTTTAGTTATCATTTTCCAGCGCTCCATTAATATTCCACACGGACGAGTTTTTGTTGTTTTTCACAGTCTACGTTTACAGAAGGTGTTTGACCGTGTGGGGGCCTGTTTGAGTCTCACTGAAGGAAAGAGAGAGTGCAGCCGGAGTTCTGATATCCGCTTTGTATCTGTTATGAGTCACAGCCAGATTTGATTGTAAATATCCACAAATCCTGCTTGTTGCTTGTGTTCATAGGCAGAGAGGTGAGGCTGATCCCTTTCTGGAGATCATCTCAGATCATAGAGCATTGATTGGGCTATCTTTGTCTCTGGGTAGAAGTTCTAACTCTGTCACTCACTCTCTTTGTGACTGGGGACAAGGTTCTGGGCTTTTCTGTGCCTCATTTCCTCAGCTGTAACTACTCAGATATCATCGTAGTTCCTTAATTCTGAGAAATACATTTGAACACACTTGATATTGGTTGAGTGCTGCAATCAATGGGCACATTATAATTTTTCCTTCCTTTTCCCTCCCTCAACACTCCTCAGAGCTATTAAAATCAATGATATCTCAGCCCTGAACAAATTTAATAATACTTGCCTTGCAGTGTCTGTTGTTGAAAAAATTAATGGAGATATACATAAAGTGTTCTTAGCCCTTGGTAAGAGTCCAACAAATGGCAGCTATTATTAGTAAAAAAATCTGTTTTGTTCTTGGAAGACTAGAACATTTATGTGTCTAGAATGTTTATTAAAGGAAATACATTATTTAGAGGTCACATATTTGGTTAAAACCTGTGCTGCTTGGAAAGTTCCTCCACATCTTTTGTTAATTAGAGATGGCAGATAGGTTTAACTTCAGGTGCCAAGTCTAATTTTTGATGACGATTGTCAGAAGTGCTGTATTTTGAGGACTGCTGAGGCAGACAAGCATGCCAAGTTTCCTTAGTAACATCGTCCCCAGGCTTAGGAAGAAGGAGAGGTAACACATATGCTGCTCGTCATCTCCGTGTTATGATGTCACAAAACACTTCTTGGCAATTCATTAGGCCTTGGTTTACCAATCAGGCATGCCATTCAAATCTTCCATCAATAGGCCATTTCCAGGTCCAAGGTAGAAGGTTGAAACCCACATGGGTGACACTTAAAACTCCAGCCCCAGCAGAAATATAGGAAACCATCAGAAAGGGCAGAGCTTTTGCAATGACCTTGATTTTGCCCAGCCCTAAATTAGCTGACATTTATTTAGGTCTTCCCTTCTGAGCCTTGAATACCCTGCATCATAGCCTTTCTACAACTTGTTGGGTGACTGGTCTGCCCCTTAGTCCATCTGGTTTTGTTCCCTTTTGCTGTGGGTAAATGGCTCCATGCATAGGGCCCTTCTCTCAGAAAGGGCAAAGGTGTTGGAAGAGAGATTACTCATTTCATTCTTTGCTCCTTGTTATCTAAATCTCAGCTTTCAGAGTACTTATGAAACAAAATCATTCATTACAGGCACATGACTGGAGGCTTAAATAGGAAAGTTACATACCATTTTTTGAAATATTCTGGTAGTCCCTGTGATTGCAGTGGTTTCTTTCTCGTAAACGAAGGTAAATAGATTTTTCTTTAATTCTGAAACAAATATATATGTATACATTTGATATCAGGATACTCACATAATGAAGTTCAAAGAAACATGTTTTTATCATGATTTCTAAAACTACAGTTAAAATAAACTCAGAAAATCAAATCTCTGCTGATAAGTTTCCCCTAAACTGTGAACATATTATTGGGAGCTCTTCCAAAAAGCGGTCCTATGAAGTGGGTTGAGTTGATGTGGTAAGAGAATTGTTGAAGATATCAAACTTCTCCTTTTGTATGGAGACCTTTAGAGTCATCTCTTTCTAATCTTTTCACCAAGAGATCATCTTTATCCATTCTGTCATTTTGAACCTGACCATGAAGCTATGGTAGACACTCTTTTTGTTCTTCAGATCTATTTTCCCCTTTGCACATTGTAAGAGAATTTTAGCGGACCTGTGTCTGCCCTGAACAATGAGTGCATTTCCCAGCTTCTGTTGTAGTTCGTAGTGACACATCAGTCACTAAGCTTTGGATGGTGAGAAACAATTAGAAGTTCCCAGCAGCAGTTGAGACAATGGCCCATGCCAGTAATCCCAGCTACTGGATGACTGAGGTGAGAGGATTTCTTGAGTCCAAGAGTTTGAATTCAGCCTGGACAACATAGCGAGACCTTGTACAGAAGTATGCAGTGGCTTTCTGGTAATGTTTCTTAGGGATGAACTGAAAGGAACCTGGATCCTAGGGGCTAGGTAGAATTGAGCTCCCAAACTTAGATTACACATGTGGAAAATATTCCCACATGTTGTTTTATTTAAACTTCCCACATGTTGAGTCTCAGCTGAATCAAATATTGATAGACACAGAACTTCCTAAAATCCTTTTTGAAACAAGGCCAGAAATAAACTAATGAATACTAATTTAACTCAAAAATATTTGATTGCTCTTCAAATGTCTTTTATCTTCTTTTCACTATGGTAATTTCATTTCTCACAAGCTTACATACAATCACCACTGTATGTATGTGCTATGTAAATCTCACTCCCTGTATTACAGAGGTTGGTGCCTGTCTCAGTGCTTAAGAAAGGCAAGCATGTATCCTGTTGGGCATTCAGGATGCATTGAAAATTATAGTCTTTTCTGAAATCTGAGAAAATTAATAGTGTTTTCTAATAGAAAACCAAGATGTCTTAGCAATATTTCATGTACAGTTTTTGCTTTGTGGTACAACTTTCAGGTGAATGAAATATTTAATTTATTTTTTTTAAATCAAAGTTACCCAGCACATAGTTTAAAAATTAAATTAATTTAATCAATAGACATTTATTGGGCATCTATTATATTCCAGATACTAGTGTATACACTTGGGTAACGTTGGCAAATGAAAAAGACAAGATCCCTGCCTCTCTGTGTTGTTGATATTCCAGCAGGAAAAGGCAGATAAAAACACTAAACATCATAAGTAAACAAATTGTAGAGCATTCTAGAAAGTGATAAATTTTATGGAAAAAAGGAGAGTGGCCAGAGGAAGTCTAATTGAAAAGGTGAATTTGAGGTGGTGACTCTTACAGAGCCAAATAGTGTAAGCATTGTGTATGTAAGGCTTGTACTGATAAACAGTGATCTCACCTTCTCCTCTGCCTCCATTTCTCCATTCCCAGAGACAACTAATTTCAACATCACTTGACTGAGTCTTTTGGTATTTTTCTCCTTGTCTTTATTTATTTATTTTTGGCCAGAGCTGGGTTTGAACCTCTGACATATGGGGCCGGCACCCTACTCCTTGAGCCACAGGCACCATCCTTTCTCCTTACCTTTAAATCAAGTTCTTTTAAGGCTACATCTTGATTCTTAGTCTTCGACATTATTTATTTGCTCCTTACTCTGGAAGAGGCAGATTTAGCTATTCACAACTGATCAATGATTGCTTTCTTTCCCCCCTCTTATATTTCCCCTTTATTTCCTTGGCATTAATAGCTGTCTTTTGCTTCTTTGCTTAATTTTCTAATCATTTATCATCAGTTGACCCTTAAATATTCTACAGTTGCTTGATCTCCTTTCAGTATGCTCCAGTATACCAGATAGTTTGTTGATTTCATTTCATTGTAAAATCTCTTCTGCAGCCTCATAACCTGCTTCAATCTGGGCTTTTTGTCCTTACCCTGGTGCACAGGGGTTAACCTGGGAACTCCTTTCCCTGCTATCCTGGGGGTTTTCTTCCCTTCTTCCTGAGTTGTTGGAACTCCTATTTCCTGGAAGCCTATAGTGTTCTTGTGTTAAAGAACACTTTAAAATAGCTTTGAAGGTTATGTGGGAAGAAGCATTATTATTATTATTTTTCTTAGCACGTGTATATCTGAAAATGTTTTTAATTCTTTGACTTGATTGCTGGTGATGTATAAGGTGGGCTGGAAACAGCTTGCCCCATAGTTTAAATATAAATAGAGTTCATTGAACTTAGTGGGGAAAAACGTGAAGTGGAGAAGGAGCAGAGTTCACATTGTTGCTGTGGTCTCACGATCTCATAGGAAGCTGTCTCTGACAAGACACATGTGAGGCAGGAACTCTGCTTCTTAGCACTTTATGTATTATTTGGGAAAGAGGGTTGTAGTGTTTCTAAGTCATTATGTAGTAACAATAATACATTTATTTTTTCTTTCTCTCAGCATAATTATTTCTGTTTATTTCCTGGTACATAATATTTATACACATTTATGGGGTATTTTGCTATATACATAGAATGTATAATGATGTGCAGTGTATTTAAGATAGCCATCAGTCTGAGTATTTATCATTCCTATATGTTGGGAATATTTCATTATCTCCAGCTATTTTGAAATGTACAATATAGTGTTGTTAACTATAGTTACCAGATTCTGCTAATGAACATTAGAACTTATTCCTTCTATAACTGTATGTTTGTATGCATTAATAAATTTCTTTTCATCTCCCCACCCTCTCATTCTTCCCAGATGCTGGTATCTATCAGTCTACCTCTATCTCTGTAAGATCAACTTCCTTGGCTCTCACATATGAGGTTGGACAATTAAGTTTGTGAACTCATCCTAGAAAAAGTGGTACAGTCCTCACTGCTGAATATCACTATGGTCACCTTTGAGGTCCTCCCTTTGGGAAATGATGCACTGGTGCCAGTGCCTAGTCTACACTTCAAAGCAATTTTGGAACTCTTTTTCTGGAATGGCCATCAGAGTTGTCCTATGAGGTCTGAGAGGTCTTGTGCACTCTCCCTAGAAAAAGTGCTCTGAAGGGTGGACTAGGCACTGGCATCGTGCATAGCTTCACGAGGAGAGTACTACTTTGAAGGTGACCATAGTGATAATCAGCAGTGAGGTGTGTCGTCTTTTTTCTAGGAGGCGTTCACAAACTTTATTGTCTGGTTTCGCATAAGTGAGAATATATGATATCTGTCCTTCCGTGTCTAGATTATTTCGTTTCCCATAATGACCTCTAGTTCCACCCATGTTGCTGAAAATGACAGAATTCCTTTCTTTTTCTATGTCTGAGTAGTATTTCATTGTACACACACACCACTTGCTCATTGATGGACACTTAGGTTGAGTTCATATATTTGCTGTTGTGAATAGTGCTGCAATAAACACAAGGGTGCAGGTATCTTTTTGATATACTGATTTCTTTTCCTTTTGCTAAATACCCAGTAGTGTGATTGCTGGATTGATTGAAGTTCTAGTTTTAGTATTTTGAAAAATCTTCAAACTTTTTTTCATAGTGGCTAGAATTTACATTCTCAACAGTGTATAAGATATACTTTCTTACCACATCCTTGAAAGTATCTGTTATTTTTCTCATATTTTTAATAATAGCCATTCTAACTGGGATGATATTTCATTGTGGTTTTGATTTGCATTTATCTGATGGCTAGTGATGAGCATTTTTTCATATACTTGTTAACCTTTGGTATGTCTTCTTTTGAGAAAAGTCTATTCATGTCTTTTGACTGCTTTTTAATGAGATTATTATTATTACTATTATTTTTGCTGTTTCATTGTTTGAGTTCCCTGTGTATTCTAGATATTGGTCCCTTGTTGAATGAATAGTTTGCAAGTATTTTCTACCATTCTGTAGGTTGTCTTTTCACTCTGTTGATTAATTCTTTTGCTGTGCAAAAGATTTTAGCTTAATAAGGTCCAATTTGTCTGTTTTTATTTTTATTGCCTGTGCTTTTTGAGGACTTAGCTACAAATCTTTGCCTAAACCAATGTTCTTAAATGTTTCCCTTACATTTTCTTCTAATAGTTTTGTAGTTTTAGGTCTTATGTTTAAGTCTCTAATCAATCTTGAGTTGACTTTGTATATGGTAAAAGACAGAGGTTAGGCTTCATTTTCTTCATATGAATATCCAGTTTCCCTAGTACTATTTGTGAAGAAAGTGTCCAATGTATGTTCTGGGGGCCTTCGTCAAAAACCAGTTGACTATAAATATGTTGATTTATTTCTAGGTTCTCTGTTCTGTTCCATTGGCTCATGTGTCTGTTTTTATACCAGTACTATGATGTTTTGGTACTAAAGCCTTGTAATATATTTTGAAGTCTTAAAGTCAAGAAATGAATCGCCTCCAGTTTTGTTCTTTTGCAAAGGATTTCTTTGGCTATTTGGGTTCTACTTTGGTTCCAAATAAATTTTAAGATTTTTTCCCCCATTTCTGTGAAAAACTGTGCTGGTATTTTGATAGAGTATTGAATGTATAGATAAATTGCTTTGGGTGATATGGTCATGTTAACAATACTATTCTTTTTATCCTTGAGCATGGAATGTCTTTTCATTTGTTATGTGCTCTTTACTGTCTTTCTTTCTTTTTTTTTCACATGTATCTAAGTTTTTATTCCACATTAATGAAATCAAAACCAGAAATTGAAAGCTATAGTTTATGTATGATTTATGCAACAAAGAAATTGGAAAGCTCCTATAAACCCAAAGGCTTTGGTCCTACATGAAAGGATTATGCATGGATGCATAATTTTATATCTGAATTCAAATAAAATTGTTATTTTATAGGAAGACATTTTTAAAAA